AGGAGCAGCTGGTAGACAGAAGAAAAAAAAAACTTGCCTAAAAAATAATTTGGATGAAAATTACTTGATAAAGAGATCACAAAAAAATATACTCTTAAAGCAGTAATGAAGCATTTTAGACAAAAGCTAGTTCCTAGAAAGGATTGCCTCTCACTTGTATTATATCAAAAGCAGTTGGCAATTCAAAGGGTAGTTGGTGGAGGTCTGGAGAAAAATCACAAAAAGAAGGAATAGGAACTAAAAGAAAATTTTCTGAGTCTAAAGAAATAGTCCAATTTATATGCTGAAATGCCCCAAAATGAATGCTTCTAAGAAAGGAAGCCACTGACACAAGCAAGTTGAGAAATTGGCCATAATGGGGTATCTTTCAGCAAAGAAGGGGTGACTGAAAGGAAAAAAGAAAAGGAAATCAGATGGAGCTCAGAGAGAAGAAAGCTAGAGTAGAGCTGAGGAAAGCTTTTGTCTGAGGTTTAAGCAATAAATCATGGCCTGAGAGAGCTGATTCCTAGTATATATTACACTGCCGTTGGCTTGAGCCATGGTTGTTGCCTCCACCCTTTTTTCCTTACTCACAAAAACGAAGTATCATGTAGTTTTTTCCACCTTCCCAAGGCTCTAGGTAATGAAAAGAAAAGAATGAATTGTATATAAGTATATAGCTTTAATGAAAAAGCCCCTGAGCACACAATGACACGACTGGTTTAACAGGCCCCACACCATTTGTCTGACGGAGAAAGAGCTATTTTTGGACCTCACGTAACAGAAGTCTATCACAAATGAGCTCATAGGTATTGGTGATGCAGGGCCACTTTGAACAGGTAAAGGCACAGTTCTGGATGCAGGCTGATTTCTGTGTTTGCTTCCAGTGGAGCGGTTTCAAGCTGAAATAGTTTATTATATGCCAGGCACCATTCAAAGCTCTTTTCTGATAATAACTCTGATAACCCTTACAGTAGCCCCAAGAGATAGGTATTTTTTATGTGCATTTTGCAGATGAGGAAGCCATGGTACAGAAAGGTTAAATAATTTACCCAAGGTCAGCCAGAGGGGGCTGACCAAACCCCCATGTACACACTGTCATATTTGGCAATGGTTTATATTGTTTTATTTCCTTCAAGTCCTATTATAATTTATGAAAGAAAGGAAACACTACAAAGAAAGTTTCTGTGCCTATTATATTCCAGTTCTGACTATCCCCTCTTATGTGAATGGGGGAGTTCATTCCAGTTTCTTTTTCAAATACTTTTACATATATATGTCTTGTATCTAGGGACAATATAGAGTGCTATTTTCATATCTCAAACATACACACAATGCTACGGTTTGGATATCTGTCCCCCAAAGGCCCATGTATTACAGGCTCAGTCCCCAGCCCATGGTGCTATTGGGAGGTGATAGAACTTACCTGAGAGGAAGATAGGATACTAGGAGTGTGCCCACGAGCGGGACTGTGGGATCTCAGCCTCTTCCCATTTCACCTTTGCATTCCAGCCCTGAGGTGAATGTTTTGGCCCTATCTTGCACACCCTGCCAAGATGTGCTGCCTTACAACTGGCCCAAAAACAACGGGACCAATGACCAAGGGCTGAAACCTCAAAAACTATGAGCTGAAGTTAATCTTTCCTCTTTTTAACTTGATTTTGTTCTCCATGACTAATAATTCAATGACTAATCATTTTGAAGATCAAAATACTGTTATTTTGCTACAGTAACAGAAAGCAAACACATGTAAGTTGTGATACACCAGGTAAAATAGTAACCTTTGTGCCACTTGCTTTTGCCTCTATTTCTGCCACAAGGCTATGTGCCCTGCTCGTGTTAATGGAAACTAATCTCTGCAACATCCAGTTGTGCATCTACCAGCCACAGTGGCCCCTGAGCACTTGAAATATGGATAGTGCAAATGGAGAGATACTCTAAATATAAAACACATGTAAGATTTCAAAGGCAGTGTGAAAAAGAAGTAAAAAACTAATGAGTTTAATATTGGTTATTCATTGAAGTAATATTTTGGATGTATTGGGTTAAACAAGTGTTACTAAAATTAACTTCACTTGTTTCCTTTTTTATTTTATTTTTATGTTTTTGTGATACTAGGGATTGAACACAGAGCCTTCACTCTGAGCTACACCTCCAGACGTTTTTATTTTTCATTTTGAGACAGGGTCTAAGTCACCAAGGCTGGGCTTGAACCTATGATCCTGCTGCCTCAGCTTCCTAGAATGCTAAGATTATGGGTGTATGCCACCATGCCAGGCTAAGATGATGTTTTAGTTGCTTTAATTGAAGGTGTATTTTTTTAACTATCAGTCTGAATATTGTTAATTGGTAAAGGAGAAAGCCATACATTTAAATAATAAGAGGCATTGATATTTACCATACACAGATATTTATTCCACGTGTTTAGTTTCTTAGTTTAGTTCCAAGTTTCTTAGTTCCTTGTATGATCTATAACAGAATACCATAGACTGGATACTTTATATTGAACAGAAAATCATTTAGCCCACAGATTCAGCAGCTGGGAAGGCCAAGACCAAGGAGCCACATCTAGTGAGGTTTTTCTTGCTGCCATAAGATGACACAAGGCATTGCATGAAGAGGGAATAAGAAAGGATCTAACTTGTTTTTATAACAATCCCACTCTCTTGATGATGATTCCCATCCCTGTGATGGCATTAATCTATCCATAAGGGCAAAGTCCTGGTAACCTAATCACCCCCTGAAAGGTCTCACCTTTCAACATAGGCATTTAGTTTCTAATACATACATGAACTTATGTGGACACATTCATACCACAGCAACATATGATAAACCATCTAGTCCTCCTGCAAAGTTGCATGCTTACACAAAGCGAAGCACTGTGAAGTAACTGACTACAGCCATAAAACTGCAAAAGGGCTGAGTTGGGATTGGAATCAGGCAGACTGGCTCCAAAGCCTGACCTTTAAACCACTAACTGGACAGGATACTATGAGAAATAGCATACGTTTACCTAAGAAAGCAACAGCCATAGTGAAGTCTCTAACAATACATTCTCCATACATTTCAACAGAGTATCTGGCTTTTTTTTTTTTTCACTTCTAGCAGAAAGGCTATAAAGACACACATTTTTTTGGCAGCAATTTCTGCCTTAATGAAACCAGCACAGGCAGTATTTTTGTGACATTCACTTGCAACCCACTAATCATATTAACTGTTTTAGGGCAAATTGTCAATGTTTGTCATACTTGTTCATCCTTCCTCTGTTTTCAGTGTGTTTTCTTTAGCTATATCTATTTATACCTGAAGTGTTTTCATTTTTAAAGAGATGTCTTCATTAGTCTGTCAACGACAAAATTGGGGCTCATAATCAAGTTATAAAACACACTGGGAAACAATGACGTGTGGTTGTCATGGGGATATTATTGATGACTATTGGATTGCTTTTCTAATTCTGAGAAAAAAATCCACTTTTAATATTTCAAACCATAAAGTTACAGAACAGGAAGGAACCTAAGGTCTTCTAAACGTCAGTTTAGATCACAGACTTAGTGTCAGGTAAGCTTTGCGGTGATGTGACCTTGTGGTGATATTATAAACACTGTAAGCCTATTTCCTCGTCTATAAAATGGGGATGCTGACATCTACCTTCTAGGGCTCTTTGAGATAGCAACTGTAATTGTACCTTAAGGCTCCACAATAGTTCTAGTAATTACTATTATTGTTACTTCCATCTGTTATCATTATATCCCCAGATGATTCCAAGAGTGTACAGTCTCTTCAAGCACCTCTGGCCTTATTCCAACAGGCCCCTTTCTCTTCCATTCTCTACTAGGACTTCTGAACGCTTCGTTTAGTTTAAGGTTAGAAGGAATAAAATACTGCAGTTCTCTCACTCCATTTGCTTTCCCTCTGGGGCAGTCTGGGCAGCTCTGGCTGAAGAAAGCTGTAATGAGCTCCTTAACTACAGCACATGTCCCCTTCCCCACAAATCTGCTCCACATACCCCTTCAAAATCCCTGAAAATAGCAGCACTGATGCTCTCCTTGGGGTCTGCCACCATGCCCTGAAGTGCTCTGTCCATCTTACTTCCTAAATGTGGGCTTTTTTGCCTCTCTTTACTGCCATGATAATGGCCTGAAGAAGATCAAGCCCAACCAGTTAACAGTTTTCCTAGACTGTGTCTTCTGCACATTCACCAAGCTTAGGACAGCTGTGCCCACTGCTAGAAATATGTAATACAGCCTCCATATCACACTTGTTTTGAGAAGCACAAATACAAACCTATCAGAAGTCCTCTTCTTTGGCCCAGGATTCTAAAGGGTCAACTTTATATGTGAAATCAGAAAGTACAGTTTTGCTCTGCCGTGACACTGAACTAAGTAAGATTTTAGACATAAGGAAATGTGGACCTAAAGGCTTACGGAACTAACCCAAAGGTAATGAGGGTACCTGGTGATCTCTTTCTTCTTGTATTGAAATTCCCTACATACACATCTAGCTGGCCAACCAGTCAGAAGGTGCATACCGATGATTGTTGAGTTGAAATATTAGTTTTCGTCTCTGCTGCCATGTGGAACTTGGAGAGCACAATTTATTTGCCTCTGGTCCTTTGGCCTCAGCCTGGGGTCTCACACTACGGGCTCAGCTGGTGTAGGAGTATAGGCCTTCTTCCCTAGACTATGTGCCTGCAGAGCTCAGGCTTCACACAGGCACTACCTAAATGTCATCCATTCTTCCTGCCATGTGGCTGGTCCTCTTGAGACCTCTTAGATCTGAGTAGGCAGCGCCAAATTTACCCCAAGGCTTCCTGTTTGTTGTTTTTGGACCCTCTTCGTCATATGAACAGGAATAAGAAAAATGTTACTTCTAAAATAAGCCTTCTATTCCAGACTATTTAATAATTTATCTATTTTGATTCACAACTAAATCCAGGCCACCTCAGACCCGCCCACAGCTTGTTGCCTAGCAACAATCTCCTTCCCCCCCTCCTCTCCTTTGCGTGCTCATGACAATTGCGCATGCTCAGTACCATTTTCGTCTCGCTAGAGCGCGTGGTAGTGACGTAAGTGGTTTGCGACGCTCTCGGCTGGCCGAGTCTTAGGGTCCTGTTGATTGACTCGCTAACAAAGTCCTGCGCTATGGCCTCCGCTGGAGTGGCCCCCGGGCGACAGGCGG